AAAAAAAAAAAAACAACTATTAAATAAAAGGCAACAGGATATAGTACAAATTTAGGTATGAATGTAAGCTGATGCTTTCTGAATGGATATGTACAGGCTTTAAAACCATCTGGAAAACAGATAACAAAGAAAACATGTCATAATACTACAGGAAAGACCAGAAAATCAGGCAAATAAAGATGAGCATCAAACCACAAGGGAAATGAAAATGCCTCAGTCCAGAACCAGAAGGGATAAACAGAGTAAGAGAGAACAGACTGGGTTACCCCTGACATGGAGACTAAGAGTGAAATAAAGTAATTTACCAAGGAAACAAGTTGGAGAGAAAAAGATGAATGAGTCAATAAAGAAATTATTCCAAAAAAAAAAACAGATACAAGAAAATTGAGATTCATTTTCTTCAATTAATTTGGATGGGAGAAAAAAGATAAAGGAAAGATTTAGACTAATGACAATACTAAGTTTAGTAAAAGAGGGAAGATACAGACTAAAAACAAAAAGGACTTTAACATGCTCAATAACTCTGACCACTTGAACAGGTGTGAAATGTAGAGAGAGGTGCAGCCAGGAGAAAGTCAGAGAGAGAGAGATTCCTCTTGTGAAACAGCTAATGCTCTGAAAAGAGAGGCAGAGGCAGAGTCAAACACGGTGGACAGCAGGCTACACCTGCGCCTGTAGAAAGTGAAGGAAGCCACCTGGGAAGACTCGTCACTCACTGGAGAGGTCTGGAGAGAAGGACGAAGGGAGCAGGGAGCTCATTCCAAAAAGACCCGATTAAGTCAGCTTAAATGTACCAAGTACTTTCTTTTTTTTTAGACACAGAGTCTCACTTTGTCGCCCTCGCGAGTGCCATGGCATCACAGCTCACAGCAACCTCCAGCTCTTGGGCTTAGGTGATTCTCTTGCCTTTGCCTCCAGAGTAGCTGGGACTACAGGCACCTGCCACAACGCCGAGCTCCTATTTTGTTGCAGTTTGGCCAGGGCTGGGTTCAAACCTGCCACCCTTAGTATATGGGGCTGTTGCCCTACTCACTGAGCCACAGGAGCCATCCCCAGGTACTTTCTTTGCAGAAGGCTAATACCCTTTTAGCCCCAACTTTAGACCTCTGAATAAATGAGTAAAAGAATAAATGAACAAGAGAAAATGAGAGAGAGAGAAAACTCACTCTTGCTCCCAAAGAAGAGGAGGAGCCTTAGGAAAGAGCTGACGAGGAGACATCAGAGGAGGCAAATATAGATGAAATGAAGAAAAGACTGGACAGCATCAGGGGTTACTTTACAAGCTGAGGCAGAAGCAGCTGAGAGTTTGGAAGCCAGGCTTTTCTGTGCCCCTCCACAGGGGAGCAGCTGCCTCAAGAGGGTACAGGTGGCCATCTGTACCTGATCATATGCATACAGGGTTTCAAAGGCCTTCTCTTCGATGAGCTTTTTCACTTTTTCCACATCCAGCTCTTCTATCCTGTAGTTGAGGTCCCCCAGCCATAAGATCACACTGTGAGGACAGAGCAAAAAGGTAACAGGGTTTAGGAGGGACTTTAACCCGTCCTATCCAGAGTGCTTCTGACAAAAGGCCCTTGAGGCTCAGGCTCTTGGGAACTGGGTATGGAAGCCGTTAGCTGTTCAGGAAATATTTTTCTCTTGCCATCCCTTTTAATACACTAGCATGCTGCCTACTCAATTATCGTGGTCCAAGTTCATTATAAACAGTCCTGAGTTCTATTCATATATGGTTAGAAAGATAGTATAATAAGATCTAAAAGCAAGGCAACCGTTTACCCCATTCCTATAAAGAGGTCAAAAAGATTAAGAATTGGGAGTCATGGCGGCGCCTGTGGCTCTGTGAGTAGGGCGCCAGCCCTGTATACTAAGAGTGGTAGGTTCAAACTGTCCCAGCCAAACTGCAACAAAAAAAATAGCTGGGCATTGTGGCGGGTGCCTGTAGTCCTAGCTACTCAGGAGGCTGAGGCAAGAGAATCATCTAAGCCCAGGAGTTGGAGGTTGCTGTGAGCTGTGTGATGCCATGGTACTCTACCAGGGCAATAAAGTGAGACTATGGTCTCTAAAAAAAAAAAAAAATTGGGAGTCATGCCTATTGCCCAGGTCCTGAAACCAGATGATGCCATGATACCTCTGCGTACACTACAGTCCACAAAACACACTCTTCAGCTGTGATTGGGTTGTAGAAGCCTAACTGAAAAGAAGAAACTGCATTTCACTGAAAGCACAATCCTGCCAGTATGATGCTAGAGCAGTGGCGAACCTCTCTTCTAGAGCACAGATTCCCTGAAACAAAGCTTAACCTTCATTCCAGTGGCCTGATGCCACTGTATTGTTGTGCTTGGCTATTTTTGCACTCCTCGGCAGCAGGACAGGTGTTTTATTATACCTGTTGCTTTAGGAAAAAGCTAATTGAAGGCTTCCTGATGACATCTCAGGAAGTTCAATAATGCTCTACCCAAAGTCAACACTCATGTCCTTAGAGAATCTACACAGCAGTAACACACTCCAAAATAAATGCACCCACCAGCTAAAAACAAACTAACACGCAGGCTGTGGCCTCGTAAGACTAGGATGCTGCAGGTTCACTACAACGGAAAAGCTCAGCAGCTCGTCAGTCCCCACCAGGTGCCCTGGGAGAGAAAGGCCATCATGTTGGCTTCCAGAACACCAAAGAGCTCCAGACAATTCCACCACAGCAGGCAGGTTGAGGCGTGGCTCTGTTTGCTCCCTGCAGACACCATAGCCTAAGTGGCTTCTTCTTCTTTATAAAAATAAGCCACATAAGTTTCAGTTGTTACCATGAAGTCTGAAATTCCAAGGCTTTGAATTTAGACAAATAGGAAGTTTTGGAGATAAGTGAAATAAAGAGAATAAACAAAAATTGGCACAAGGTGCTCTAAGCAGTTGCAATTATAGCTTTGTGAAATTAAATTAGGAGTAAACAAGACCAAATGGAAGCAAACAGATGTAGTCCAAGCATCAATAATGCATGCTCTGAAAAGAACAGACATAAAATCCTAAAACATACTTCTAAAAGCTTTGTTTGAGATGCTCACTATTTGGTTGCTTTCCTCCTAATATTGGATTGGAGCAGACCCAAATTAAAATAAATCTTAAGCAGGATTCAGACTACAACATAGCCCTTAAGGGCTGTGCTGTCATTTCTCTTTGCTCAAAATAAAGTTGTTACTTTTTTGAGACAGAGTCTCACTCTATTGCCCTGGGTAGAGTGCCATGGCATCATAGCTCATAGCAACCTCAAACTCTTGGGTTCAAGTGATCCTCTTGCCTCAGCCTCCCAAGTAGCTGAGACCATAGGCACTCGCCACAATGTCTGGCTATCTTTAGAGACAGGGTCTGCCTCTTGCTCAGGATGGTCTTGAACTTGTAAATTCAAGCAATCCACCCACCCCAGCCTTCCGGAGTGATGGGATCACAGGAATGAGCCACGGCGCCCAGCCTTAAAGTTGCTTCTTACCTATACTTCTTTGCTTACTCCCTCAGCACCCAGGGATGCTTGGTCTCATACATGTGTCGGCAAATTTTAATATTAAAAACTCAAATAAAATAAATCTTTTACTTTTCCCAGGACAAATGATGCCTAAGAGAGATTCTAGAGGTCTGCCAGATGGTAAGTTACGAAGCTAAACATTTCTTTTTTTTTTTTGGAGACAGAGCCTCAAGCTGTCACCCTGGGTAGAGTGCCATGGCATCACAGCTCACAGCAACCTCCAACTCCTGGGCTCAAGCGATTCTCCTGCCTCCGCCTCCCAAGTAGGTGGGACTACAGGCCACAATGCCCAGCTATTTTTTGGAAGTAGCTGTCATTGTTGTTTGGCAGGCCCGGGCTGAATTCGAACCCGCCAGCTCAGGTGTATGTGGCTGGTGCCTTAGCTGCTTGAGCCACAGGCACCGAGCCAAAGCTAAACATTTCTAAGAGATCTAATCCACATGTAACTGAGAACTGACAGATACTGCCAATCCACAGTAGGAAATCGCCCCAGCAACCTCCCCAACAAAAGACAGAGCCCAAGACTCTGTACAGCACACATGGTGAACTGCACGGGGTAGAAGCCCAGACTCACTCGTGCCTGCTGATGGTGAGAGGGGGAAGGCTTGGGTCAACCTGACAAAACTGCATTCGTGAACAGATGTCTTTATAGTCTTGGTTCCTCCTCTCATACTCTTCTGTGTGGGCTGCCAAGTGAGAATTCACAATGCAGATGCTGGTGTTGTGGAACTGGAACCTGATTGCCACGCCTCCTTTGTTACCCTATTAAAAGGATCCCCCCCCCAAAAAAAATCCAATTCACAACTTGTATCAGTCATGCAAGTTCACAGACTCAAAAAAAGTAGAAATTATAGCTGTAATTCCACTATAATTAATTTATATAAGCCTTGGGAAAAAATAAAAATCTTTAAATCTTTAAAAGAAATAAAATAAATTCACAGATTTTTCTTTCTTTTTTTTTTTTTTTCAGGGTCTCATTTTGTCACCCTGGGTAGAGTGCTGTGGCATTATATAGCTCACAGCAACCTCAAACTCATGGACTCAAGAGATTCTCTTGCCTCAGCCTCCCAAGTAGCTGGGATGACAGGCACCGGCCACAATGGGTGGCTAGTTTTAGAGACAGGGTCTCGCTCTCGCTCGGGCTGGTCTCAAACTCATGAGTGTAGACAATCCACCCGCCTCGGCCTTCCAGAGTGCTGGATTATAGACATGTGCCACCGTGCCCAGCCTTAAAAATTCACAGACTTTCAAAATGCGCCTATAGTTCAGTAGGTAGGGCGTCAGCCACATACATAGGGGCTGATGGGTTTGAACCTGGCCCAGGCCAGCTAAAAACAAAAATGACACCTGCAACAAAAAAACAGCTGGGCATTGTGGCAGGTGCCTGTAGTCCCAGCTACTTGGGAGGCTGAGGCAAAAGAATTGCTTAAGCCCAAGAGTTAGAGGTTGCTGTGAGACGTAACGCCATGGCACTCGACTGAGGGTGACTTAATGAGACTCTGTCTCAGAAAAAAAAAAAAAAAAGTTGTGTCTTAAATCATCTTTGTAATAATCTGGTGAGGTTATTATCTATATTTTATAGATAAGAAAAACAAATCCAAAAAAAGAAAAAGAAAAGAAAAGAAAAACAAATCCAAGAAGCCAAAGTGACCAGCTGGTCAGTAGCAAAGATAAGTCCAGAACCTAGTTCTTGCAATCCAGTGTTCTTTTCACTAAATCACAGGCAAACCATAGATTCTCCCTTCACCACACAAAACTAAGCTCTTGCAGAAGAACCTAAAAGCAGAACTTTAACAGCCTCAACAAGAAGAAGAAATTGCAAACCTATTATCAGCACTCTATTTTTTTTTAGTGATCCAACATAGTTTCTGCACATATTTCATGGGTTAAGTGGGAGGCTTAAGCGTTGAGTAAACATGAGGACAGGTGCTAGTTGGGCAAGTCAGCCAGCAACATGGATTTCTAAACAGTCTGTTCAATCTGACCCTGCTTGAGGGTAAATTCACCTTGCAGTGTTGGCACCCTCAGAGTGGGACACATGCAGTTATTGCTTCATGAGAAGCAGCTCGGTCAAAACCCTACAGGTCAAAGGCTACACTGTGCCAAACACGACAACCCAGGACTCACCATCCTCCCCATGATTCCTGTGCCCACAGTCTCGGCCTCCACTTCTGAGATATACGCTGCGTGCTCCTGTTTGACGTATAACAGCAGCATAATCCCAACCAGGCGGATGAGCTTCACCTAGAAAATGGAGCCAAAGAGTCATGTCATGGCTTTAAGTAGAAGTTGAAAACAGGAATAAATAACCCAAAGGGAAAGTGGTCTGGAAGCTGGCTGAGATAGTAATGCATCTTCTTCTCCATGCTGGAATACACAATATCACCTGCTCGACTCATGAGCAGACTACAAGATAGCCTATTAGCCTACAAGGGCCAAGACCCTGCATCTTCCCCCCAGAGACACCCCTTCTGGAAGACCTGGGACTGAAAACAGCAGGTTAGTTAAGACTCACATAAGATAAAGGTAACAGAAAAGGTGAAAAAGTATCTTGGAATTTCTCTTTATGGCAACAAGTCCTCTCTCACCTTCGCATACTTGGCATCAGAATGAAGACCCTGTGTTACAGCTTTAAACCATTCTTCCTCCCTTGGCGTATCATGAAAGAAAAAGGCTTCCTTACTCAGATCAAGCTCCTGGAACCTGATGGAGAAGCAATCCATTAGATAGCAGAGAAAGGTAACATGCAGACAACATGCCCTCACATCGGTTTAGGTATATAAGCCCTAGTGTTCTAGCTAAACTGCAAAACCCTCAGGACAGAAGAAAAATAAGCAACTCAGAGCCAAAGATCTAACTGCCAAGGAACTCACCAGGTGCTTTTTCCAACACCAGCCCACTGCCTCTTCAGGACTATCCTATGAAGTAGTTGTCCCCACTTACATCTGTGATTCCCAGCTCACACAAGCCCCACATAGCAAACTGGGGTTCCAGCCCAGTAAAACTGAAGAAAATGTATCTTTTTTTTTTTTTTGACACAGAGTAAAGTGTTGCTCTGTTGCCCAGGTTAGAATGTAGAGGTGTCATCATAACTCACTGCAATCTCAAACTCTTGGGCTCAAGCAATCCTGTCTCAGCCTTCTAAGTAGCTGGGACTATCGGTACCTGTCCATACCCAGCTAATTTTTCCTAAGTTTTTTTCATTTGTTTTGTTTTGTTTAAGAAATGGGGTCTTAGGCGCGGCACCTGTGGCTCAAACGGCTAAGATACCAGCCATATACACCTGAGCTGACGAGTTCAAATCCAGTCCGGGCCCACCAAACAACAATGACAGCTGCAACCAAAAAATAGCCAGGCAGTGTGGCGGGCGCCTATAGTCCCAGCTACTTGGGAGGTGGAGGTAGGAGAATCGCTTGAGCCCAGGAGTTGGAGGTTGCTGTGAGCTGTGATGCCACAGCACTCTACCCAGGGTGACAGCTTGAGGCCCTGTCTCAAAACAGAAAAAAACAAAAAAAGAAATGGAGTCTTAGGTGGCACTTGTGGCTCAGTGAGTAGGGAGCCAGCTTTATATACCAAGGGTGGCAGGTTCAAAACTGGCCCCTGCTAAACTGCAACAAAAAAATAGCTGGGCTTTGTAATGGGCGCCTGTAGTCCCAGCTACTGAGGAGGCTGAGGTAAGAGAATCGTCTAAGCCCAGGAGTTGGAGGTTGGTATGAGCTGTGATGCTATGGCACTCTACCAAGAGGGATAAAGTAAGATTCTGTCTCCAAAAAAAAAAAAAAAAAAATGGGGTCTTGCTGTTGCTCAAACTCCTGAGCTCAAGTGATCCTCCTGCCTTGGCCTCCCAGAGTGCTAGGATTACAGGTGTGGGCTACCACACTCAGACCTGTATAAATTCTAAAATCTAGCTCTTTCCAACATACCATATGAACTGTGTTTCATCTCCCCACTAATAGTGCTCTATACAGTAGTGAGAGGATAGTTCTTTTTTTTTTTTGCAGTAGTTGGCTGGGGCCGGGTTTGAACCTGCCACCCCTGGTATATGGAGCCAGCACCCTATTCCTTGAGCCACAGGTGCTGAAATTCTATCCCCTGGGATAGAATTTTCTTTAGCTAACCTTTTTTTCCTGGCAAAAGATATTTTTGCTTTGTGACAAAAAGTGGTGAATGTCTAAGCAATGAAATTCGGTTTACAATATGCTAGCTTTAACAGAGGGTTACAGTAAAAATTAAATATTAGCATTTAAATGCCAGGCATTGCAGTTTAATAGTGCCAGACATTTCTTTACCATGAGGAAGACTATTAGAAAGGTAGCTGTCACTAGGCACATGCTCCTTTTTCAATTCCTTCACCTATGAACACTCAGCTGCATCCTCACGTCCCCATCCCTTTAATCATACCTCAGTGTTCTTGACCATGGAGAGATGACTAGGAGAAAAGCCCTACTCACCCTACGCAATACACATCTGGGGCCTGGATATCGCAGCTCAGCCAGGGCCGGAGGCATTCTTTGGGGGACTGTCCATTCACATTGTATGTTCCCACAAAAAACCTGTCACCAAAGAGAATCAAACAGTAACTCAGAAGCACCATGGAGATGACAGGGGAAAGCATTTTATGCTGATTCATGTTGGCTTTAGTCACTGTGGAGTGACATTTTAAGACATAAGAAATGTCATAGGCTCATAACCTGTGGCTCAAGTAGCTAAGGCACCAGCCACATACATCTGAAGTTCAAATCCAGCCCGGGGGGGTGCGGGGGCAGGGGGGAAGCGCCTGTGGCTCAGTGAGTAGGGTACTGGCCCCATATACCGAGGGTGGCGGGTTCAAACCCAGCCCTGGCCAAACTGCAACAAAAAACAGCTGGACGTTGTGGTGGATGCCTATAGTCCCAGCTACTCGGAAGGCTGAGGCAGGAGAATCACCTAAGCCCAGGAGTTGGAGGTTGCTGTGAGCTGAGACTCCACAGCACTCTACCAAGGGCAATAAAGTGAGACTCTGTCTCTAAAAAA